GGTGCAGATGAGGAAGAGGAGGCAGCCCCTCCTTCAGTGCAGGCTTCTTCCTCGTCATCCTTGGATGAGGCAGTCGTAGGCCCTAGTAACCTGCTCTGCCAGATGACTTCAGGGCCCATCAAGAACTCCTGAAAAGGGTCACCACAAACTTGGGTCTGGAAGTCGAGGAGCTAAAGGAGTCTGCACACAGCCTAGCTGACATTCTGGTTGTAGCGGCTCCCTCCAGAAGTGAGGTTTGTAATGGGTCAACACCACTACCAATGCACAGCACTTCCCTTTGGCCTGTCGGTAGCCCATGGCTCTTCATTAAGTGTATGGCGGTGGTAGCAGCCTTCCTCAGACGTCGAGGTGTCCATATCTACCTGTAGTTCGATGTCTGGCTGATCAAAGGCCACTGGCAGGCTCAGGTCCAGCACAGCATCAGTACAGTACAGGCCACCTTTCAGGTGCTGGGACTGTTGATAAACGAGTATAAGTCAACTTTGGTCCCGGTTCAGAGAATAGAGTTCTTTGGGGGCAGTGCTTGACTTGACCCAGGCCAAGGCCTACTTACCAGAGGCCAGATTCCGAGCTATGTCAGATCTGATCTCCAAGGTCACGACCCACTTGGGTTTGCCTCAAACTGTTGGGTCAGATGGCAGCATTCAACTATGTGGTGCAATATGCAAGGCTGTGCCTCAGACCCCTGCCAATGTGGCTAGGGTCAGTCTATTCCCTGAGCAGACACAACTTCGACTCAATAATCACGATTCTGCTGCTGGTCCTCCGTTTGCTGAGTTGGTGGAGAGACCCAGGTTCCTTAATGAAAAGAGTACCCTTTGCCGCCTTGCATCTGTTGGTAACTTTAGTTCTGGATGCGTCAGACCTGGATTAGGGAGCCCACCTTGACAATCTTAGGGAACTCAGAGCAGTATGTTTGGCTTGCCAGGTGTCCCTTCCCAGGTCTCAGGCAAGGTGGTACATGTCTTCACCTCGAGGCATCACATTTCCCCAGAGCCCAAAAAACACACTGGTGGATTGCCTCAGCAGGTCCTTTTCCTTTCGCTCTGAATGGTCTCTTCATCCGGAGGTCATCAGTGTCATCTTCCAGAAGTGGGGACTCCCAGGTGGACCTGCTCGCCACCGACAGAACAGGAAAACTGCAGGAAAGGCATCTGCACATCATTGACCAGATCTCTTGCTACCTCCTGGGCAAAGAGAAATCAAGTGTCATATTCAGGGGCTTGAGTGGTTGCCACCTAGATAAATGTATCTTCCGGATAATGAAAGATCTCTTTTAAAGCTTCTGCTTTTATTATCACATACCTAAGTCATAGGTCCTGTTAATAATTTTTTAAATTAGTTTTAAATGTGAACAGGAAAATGACTTCAGGCTAAATTCAACCCTCATATTAACATCATGAGTTTTTGTAGTACTATAATTTATTCTTGTGAGGGATTGAAATCAGCCTCCACACGTGTTCAAAATCACTTATATTCTGTCGTCATCCAAAATGCTTCCAGTTTCTTATCTTCTTGTTCTCTGTTTTTGTGGCAGCTAATTTATCAAAAGAAACATGGTTTTGAACAAAAAAGAAAAATCATTTTTAAACATTTGAAAGCTGTGGATTGAATAAACTGTTTTAAGGTCTTTAGATTTTTTTTATATACAGTACTATTAACTTTAAAAATGGTGGTGTTTGCTGTAACAATTAAAGGCTAATTTTAAATAGATGGGAATGAGTGGCCCTTCCTGTATTATAGAAAGATTTATAGGTATGGATTTTTCTGTTTAAAGTATTGCAGAAATAGACATATGAAACTGGATGTACTGAAAGGAGGGGAAAAAACCTCCCAATTTTGTGTATGCAGTAAAGTATTTAAATAGAAACATCTGGGATTTCAGAGTTTACATGGCATTTCAGATGATTTAGATTCCAAATTTATAATTTATAACAATTTTACAAAATTTAATATTAATAGAGATTGTTTTGATTCTTTAGAAGATCAACCTCTGCAGCCTTTTAAACCCAGACATTACAATACAAGGCTATTGAAATAAGAACCAGAAAATTAAACTGATTGGTATACTGTATTTTCCAAGACGAGTGAAAGGTACCATGTGAAATTGTGAAATGTAAATTAGTGTCCATTTTATTTTCATGTTTAATAATCAAAATTATTGTTAACTGCTAGCATCAGCAATTGGTGAATTTTTTCAAAGATTAATTGTGCTTGCGGTGTGTATTCTCAATATCACTTTTCAAAGTTTTTTGTGGTCTCTGAAATGTCTTGCAGATTAGTTTGCAAGTTTCATGCTAATATATCATAGCAGCAGTCTCTGGCAATTTGTGCTTGTGAAAGGTAATACAGGGAGTAACAGAACAACTTAAAGGGCCAGTTTTTAAAGATCTATAGGTATCGAAAGATGCAGATAGCAGCTTGTGAAAACACCACTAAGCACCAATATGCATCTTTAGGTGCCTGAACACCTGGCCTACAACATCCTACACTCTATTGCGGCTAGACACCCCAATAGGGTGTGACACTGCTAGGACTCCGTACACTTTGGTTCCACCTTTGGAAGTGGCAAGGATCACATTGGGTTCTGGATCAGCAAGTTATCCCACCCTGTGGTCCAGCTAGATCAGAGGGCCAAGATCCAATGCAGAGGCTTGTGCCTCTTCAGGAGGACTAAAAGTACACCCTTTTGGCCAGATCAGAGGGTCAACCTGGGGTACTGAGAATCACGGTCTGCAAAGGGGAGAAGAGCTGCCAGGTCTTTCTGCTGGGTCTGGACAGATGGTGACTGAGTAGCTTTCTTGTTGCTTTGGGGTTGTTCTCTCTCAGCATGACCAGGCACTGGACCAACTGGGAGTTGTGACTGCACAGTAAGGGAGACAAGGCCCATCCTGCTTCTTTGAAGCTGGAGTCTGTAGCCTAACAGCTGCTGATGCATGTGGCAGAAGTGCCCATCATGCAGAGGCAGTCAACACAGGCACCTCTCCTGCATAGTCAGTAGTGAGCTCTTCCTCTGGCCATCTTACTGGTCCTGCCCAATGCAAGCTCTTCTCATCCTCCGCCTACTCTCAGTGGGGATGCAGCAGGCTTCCAAGGGGGGATGAATCAAATAGATATGATTTTAAACCAATATTTTTGACAGCTGGAATAGGGGGAAGTGAGTCTGTGGTTGAGGGAATAATTATTTGATTTTATTGTAATGGATTACCTATCAGAGTCCTAAAGCAATAGTGATTCTTAAGACCTCTACGTTATGGCAACTGGCGGTATTACAAAACAAACAAAAAATCCCGAAACAACACAAGTAAATCTCAACATGAAAATAGGCAAACTACATACAAGAAAAGTATAACACAGTAAACCAGCTTCATCATATTCGAACAATATGGAAATCTAGTGATGGAGGAGCCTCAGAGGTGGGGTTTTTTTTTTGATAGTTTTGCAAAGCTACTACGTTGTAGATTACTTTCTCCCTCCCCTCAAACAAATACACACCCATGCCTGTTGGTAATGGCTCACTGGGAAGCAAGCTGATAGCAGACAAACCTTGTCTGATGGATCCTTCTCCTTCCAGTAATTACATTTTCATTTCAGTTAGGTGTTTGGTCCTTAATTTTTGTGTTTTTAGCCACCCCCCCCCCATTCTCCTCTTCCCGCAGTGGAAAAGGGGGAGTTGGGGGGGAGAATAGTTTAAACATAATCTCACTTTCTCTCTCAATGTTTTTTCTCCTTTTGCATTGGTAAAATATAAGAGGAAGGGGGAGGGAGGAACCCAGAATGAATTCGGGACTGAAAATAAAAAACAGAAATTGAAAATTTCTGCAAAAACAAAAAGTGGTTTCTTTGACTAGAAATATTTATACCACGTTACACCCTCATGTATGCCATAACTATATATATTATACATATATACGTATATACTTCCACATATGTATCAGAGATGCATGTCTACAAAGAGACACAAAGGATACATACGTAATTGTTTTCATAGACTATTGTACTGAAATAATGAAGATTGCGATAAACATTGTTTGGTATTCTCCTGCTGCGTAGGCTCTGTTAAACAAAATGAAGATAAACGGTGCTATTTTACAAGACAGAGCCCTCTGCATAATTTTCCTTATTTTCAGCACTTTCAAATTAATCATTTTCGAGTGTATTTTTAAAGGTGCAATATGAACCTCTACTCTTCACAGCTCTAGTTATTGTCAGTTTTGTTATGGTTGTGTAAAAGCTTAGGTTATATTCCCAGCTGTTGCTAAAGCCAATAGGGGCTATGTCTGTTTGCACTAGCTGAAAATCTGAGCCTGTGCTTTTTCACTGAACAAAGTACTGTAGTTAACTTGATTCAGTTATAGAAACCCAGGCAGCAGTCATTAAGAATAAAGATTATAAAAAACCATACTGCATACACATGCCATTAAAAGGCATGCTTTGATTGTGTATGCAAACCAAAGAATTTTAGGATCAATTCAGAAGTGAAATTCACCCTTAGAGGGCCCATTCCATAAGATATTTATATCTTCTGGGAGGTGCTCAGTGCCCTAAGTGCCACTGACAGTATTTTTTACACGTTTTCATCTAAGCAGACCTATGTGATTACCTTGCCTATTTTATAGAGCAGATTAGAATCTTGAATTACACTTATTAAAACAGATTGATTGGTTTAGCTGGAAATGATCCACTTCTGCATATAAAGTTTTGTAAGCCAAAAGTGGAACACAAGCCTCTTGTGACTAAGAACAAAATCCTTTTGATGGCTCCACTGATACAAGAATATGGTTGAAATAGGTAACCACAATCTGGAGTGTTGAATTACATTTATTTGAGCAGCCTATCAAACATTTTACATTAGCTCTGCTGGATTCTTGCAACCAATATTAAAAAAATTCAGACATAATCCCATCCGTTTCAGTAATGTCGTTTAGTCTTTCATGGTTGAATCAAAGCAGTTAATTTTGGTGTTAATGCTGAAAGTTCCATCCTTTATTTTTATTTAGCCTACAAGCCCCAAGTTTGGAAAAGCAGACTCTTACGAAAAACTGGAAAAACTAGGGGAAGGATCGTATGCCACAGTGTACAAAGGGAAAAGCAAGTAAGTGGATTTATTATTATTAAATATGGGGAAAGGGTTGGCAAATATTTTATATACATGGGTCACGATCCTGCAATTGGATGCAGAATCAATGCATTCATGTGCAATGCCATTGACTTAAGTGCTAGATCTTCTTGCACTGATCTGAGTGAAGGATTGTAACATAAGATATTATAGTACCTCTGTGCCAGGACATTTTAATATAGCTCTGCATTGTTACTTTCTTAAATAGGATCTCAGAATCTTGTACACTTTGTTATATCAGTCAATGGGTTACTCCTTCAGTATTTTCTCAATATACACACGAAAAATCAATCCTTCCAAGTATTTCAGCTTGTTAGTTAGGAACATTTAGAAAACTTTCCATCTAATTTGATGTCTTCTCAGTTGCTTAGAACAACGGTAAACAAATATTGTAGTTTTATTTTTTGTTGTTCTATAGTTTTTTGGGGCTGAGATAGCATAAGGTGACCTAACATAATTTTGCACTGTTGTCAGTTCATTCACAAAAGCAGATATAGAAACCCACCCTCAAAAATCGAGGTAATATTTATCCAGGTAATATTTACTCATTTATTTAAATATAAACTAATGCATGATATTTAAAGCAATAGCTGAGGAAAAGAATCTGCTTTGATTGTGAATAATGCTAAAAGCCTTTGAATTCAACCACTATAACCACATTCATTATTATTTGTTCCAGTTGATTTTTTGTCAGGGATCGTATCTTATCCTGAAGTAGTGTGTTAATTTATTGTAGTATGTATAAATGAATTTTAATACTACTACTAATAAAGCAGCTCCTTGAAGGGGCCTGGTACACTTGTGTATCTCTGAGAAGAACCTTATTCCATTGTGTCATAGAGAAAGGACACTTTGGGCTTGTCTATATAGAGCAGCAATGCACACTGAAAGTGTGATTTCTAAAATGTACCAACTAAAACAGCTACATTTAATGCATGCTAGGGAACTTTTAGATCACTTCAACGGGGTCTACATGGATCAGTGTAGCATGCAACAGGCTGGTGTGCTTCAGAAATCACACCCCGCTAGTGAGCATTGCTACTCCATGCAACCAAGCCCCCAGTGTTTCCCATCAGAGACGAGCCTCAGTTTCATTTAATTCAGATGACAGCATGACTACTGAAAGGAAGCAGATATGTTAACATAGTATGCCTAATTTAATGGAATATGTAGTACTGTAAATAGTGCAAAATTAATGTTGCAGTGAATGGATACATTTTTTTTTGAGAGAATCAAAATGAGGCTGATGTCATCTCTCAATAGCTTTTAGACTAACAGGAACAAAAACGTTTGACTGGCTTGAGTAGCAAAGTCCATAGAATTATTTCTAAACATAAAATAAGTATGCACTTACCAAGTATATTCCTAGTGACATAATGTGAAGAGGAGACCCAGCTTTTTCTTCCCTATCAGGCAGTAGAAATTTTGCTGTGTCCATTAAGTATTAGAAAGTGCATTAAGTATTAGGAAGTGCAATTACTCTATATTACTAACCAGACATATTTTCAGTAAATAGAATAAACTTACTTTTCTCTTGGGGTTCTAGTAATATAGGAAATCACATACGTTTCAGCCTTGTGGCTTATCACTCAAAATATCCAGTAAAATCACAGCCTTAAAATGAGTCTCTAACTAAAATTATACCATACAAATTGATTTCCAATTAATCTGACATGTTCCCTTAAATCCGTATAGCTGACCTAAAATTCATTTACAAAAATCTGATTCATTCAGTGATGTGCTGTGAATGTGTTTATAAACTCAGATTGGTTAGAAATATTATATTTGTTTTAATGGAATGGACCTGCAGATTTGTTATAAATACTTCATTGATTTTAAAGGAGGCTGTACTGAACTTTTAACAAATCTTCATGGCTTTTCCATTGTAATCAAGAGCAAATTATTTGAATTCCAGAATCCGTATCATGAATTTTAAACTGAACTTGTTAATAATAGGGCTGAGATAGCATAAGGTGACCTAACATAATTTTGCATTGTTGTCAGTTCATTCACAAAAGCAGATCTAGAAACTGACCCTCAAAAATCAAGGTAATATTTACCCAGGTAATATTTACCCATTTACCCAGTTCTAGTCTCTTGCTAGAGGACAATCCATACTGATTCCTGCTCCAGTAACTTGATGCTTTATGGGTTGAACAACAAATTGACTTTGTGATGTATGCACATCCCACTTACACACCCCTAATTCAAGTTTGTTCCATTCCATGGTTTAAAAAAAGCAGTGCTGTAGCTCATGGACCTTTTAAAATCTGTGAAGAATCAGCTTCCCATCTGCTGTTTAATTTCAAAATCCAGTGTTTTTTCCATTAGAAAAGAAGCCTGCCTGCTCTTTCATCTGTGTATCATGTTGCACTGTTTCACACATTCACATAAAAGGTGTTGGGGATCCTGTCCCAGTGCCAATTTAAATTACTGTATGGGGTGTAAAGTGAATCTGTTCATGCCTATTTGAGAGATGAACTTTTTAAAGCTCCAGTTCAAGAAAAAGGGCTAGATAAGTTAATGGAAGATAGGTCCATCAATGGCTATCAGTAGGGCCCTACCAATTTCACGGCCGTGAAAAACATGTCATGGACCGTGAAATAAGACCTGCCCCGTGAAATCTGATCTCCCCGATATCAGCCGGGCTGGGATGGGACAGGACTTATCTTTTCCCTGCACAGCTGTTATGGGGAGAGATCAGACCCTCCCCCTCAGGCAGCACAGAAGTGAGGGTGTACACTTCTGTGCTGCAGCAGCCCCAGAGCTGGGCTCTGCACTGCTTCCCCCGTGGCTCTTGCTGGAGCTTGGGACTCCCTAGTTCCGAGGCTTCCGCCCCTGCCCACACACGACTCCTGCCGGGGCTCGGGGTGCCCGAGCTTTTGGGCTACAGATCCCTCTCCCACATGGCTTCTGCCTGGGCCGCTGCTCTCCTCCTCCCCCCCCCCACAGGTCCTGCCAGGGCTGGGGGCTGCCCAGGCTCCTGCCGGGGCTTGGAGCTTCCACCCCCTACAGCTCCTGCTCGGACTCTGGGCATTCGAGCTTGGGGCTGCTGCCCTCTTCCCTCCCCCCACACTGGTGGCACCTGCTGGGGTTGGGGGTGCCTGGACTCCAGTCAGGACTCGGGGCTTCCACCCCCCTGCGGCTCCTGCCTGGGCTCAGGGACCTGGGCTGGGGCTGCCACCCCCTGCAGCTCCAGCCCCCTGGAGCTCCTGCCCAGTCTCAGTGGGCTTGGCTCAGGGCTGCTGGTCCTGGCCCCCATGGCTCCAGCCAGGGCTTGGGGCTTCCACCCTGTGGCTCCTGCCATGGCTGGGGCACCCATTTTTCAAATTGTCCAAGGCCCATGAGCCCATGTGTTAATCCACCACTGGCCCTGACTAGCAGCTAGGAGCCCCCGGCAGTGGCACTCCAAGCAGCACTGGGGAGATTGGACCTACCTCCACCTCCAGGAGTCTGCTCCTGCACAGAAGTGAGTATGGCAATCCTGCAACCCCCCTACCAAGAGCTTTAGGACCCCCCCCCACCACCACACACACACATGATCCCCTTTTGGATCAGGGCCCCCATGGTTACTACACCATGAAATTTCAGATATAAACATCTGAAATCATGAAATTGACTAACTTTAAGAACCTGTGGCTGTGAAATTGACCAAAGAGAGCTGTGAATTTGGTAGGGCCCTAGCCATTAGCCAAGATGGTCAAGGATACAACCCCAATCTTGTGCAACCCTATACCTCCGACTGTCAGAAATCTGGAGGAGAACATGGGATGATCACTTCAACTCCTGTGTTCTGTACGCTCCGCCTGAAGCTCTGATACTGGTCACTGTTTGACACAGGATACTGGGCTAGATGGGCCATTGCTCTGACCCAGTGTGTCAGTTTTTTGGTTACCCGAAGGCTAATGGAGCACATCTGATTCAAGAGACTGAAACTTGAGTGGCTGTTGTTAAAGGAGGATATTCATTTAATAGGCATCACAGAAACATGGTTGAAAGATGATGATCAATGGGACACAGTAATACCAGGGTACAAAATCTATAGGAATGACAGAGTGTATCGTGCTGTAGGGGGAGTGCCACTATATGTGAAAGAAAGCATACAGTCAACTATAGTAAGAGCCTTAAATGAATCAAACTGTACAATAGAATCTCTGTGCTTGAATCATTAAAGTACAATAGGAATGTACTACCGACTAGCTGATCAGGATGGTGACCGTGACTGTGAAATGCTCAGGGAGATCAGAGAGAGTACAAAACCAGAAAACCCAACAATAATGGGGAATTTCAGTTATACCCAGATTGCCTGAGAATATGTCACCTCAGGCTGAGATGCAGAAATAAAATTTCTAGACACATTAATGACTGCCTCTTGAAACAGCTAGTCGTGAAATCCACGAGGGGAGAAGAAATTCTTGATTTAGTCATAAGTGGAGCACAAGATCAAGTCCAAGAGGTGAATATAGCTGAACCACTCAGTAATAGTGACCATAGAGTAATTTAAATATAACATCCTTGTAAGGGAGGAAAATGCCAAAGAAACCCATTACACTAGCATTTAACTGCAACACGGGGAATTGCACAAAAAATGAGGAGGCTAGTTAAACAGAAATTAAAATAAACTGCCAAGAGTGAAATGTCTGCAAGCTGCATGGCAACTTTTTAAAAACACCATAATAGAGGCTCACACTATATGTATACCCTAAATTAAAACAACAATTAGAGGATTAAAAAAAAAAACCCACCACGGCTAAACTGAGTTAAAGAGGCAATTAGGGACAAAAAGACATCTTTTAAAAATTGGAAGTCAAATGCTAATGAGGAAAATAGAAAGGAGCATAAACTCTGGCAAGTCAAGTGTAAAAGTATAATGAGGAAGGCCAAAAAAGAATTTCAAGAGCAAATAGCAAGAGACTTACAAAATATTTTTTTTGCTATTAATTTTTAAGTCCATCAGAAGTGGGAAGAGTGCTAAA